GACGAATTCATAATATCAAATTACACTTCATAGTCCTTAGTAACGGTGATTTTTCTTTCTAGTTTAAGAGGGATGTATCAATGAAACAGATTTCGCAGCAACGTTTCTTCTCACCTTACCACATTAGTTCTTTTCATTGGCATGTGGTAGATGACTAAGTACGAGATGACACTACAAGTTAATGAGACGGGTTAGGTGGCTGTCTGGGATATTACTATAAACATGCTCTTATAGAACAGAAATGGTGAAAACCTGCTTGCATAATGACGGTCATTGGCTCGGCCTACAATCAATTAGTTAGAGTAGAGTGCTGTGGTACATGTAAGCGTGTGTGTAAGGATTTTGTTCCAGGGGACTTCAGTTCCTCCACTGGAATAGGCTGTAACTTCCACGTCTCCGCAATCACACGTAGATCGATATCCGCTATATCACACAGGTGATATGAATGCACGAGGAAGGCACAGCCGAATGTGACCTGTCTCACTTTAGCAGATTCTTTTGATTGCGATATTGTGACACGTTGTGCAGTAAGGTGTTTGTCCCCACGCGGTAAGGGGCTTCATCCCCGGTGGTCAATTCGGAGAGAGAGCGACTGGTATTTCCTACAGCGCAGCCCATAGACATCAGACACAACGCGGAACCGGAAAAAGCGTTCATGGCTAATTATTGTATACCACCCAGATAGATCGAAAGTTACTCGAGTTTAGACAATAGCCATGGCAGAGCGGGTGGCGAGTCACTTACTGTGAACCCAAATATGTTTTGTAAAATGATTGGTTCACACACTTGAGTTGCCTGGGCTTAGTGTGAACAGGAATACCGAACGTGACATGTAACTTGACCCACGTGGAGAAAAGTCATACCAACTTACTAAATAAAAGTCCTCTCCCCCATACACACTTGTTTACATACATACATACACTTCACACCTGCTCGAAACTTAACACTCGGCCTCAGATAAATCGAGCCAATGGCCATCACTAAATAAGCATTGTGCACTCTATATGACCTATATGACTAGGAATAAACAAAAGATAGTTCACTCGTGGAACCATTTCCATTTATGTGGCATTGATTATCGAGGTTCCTGTACAACTCATTTGAACGGTTTCAACTGACCACCCGATGGATTCGGTCAATCTGCTGCACTCTCATTCACACTGCCTACATGCCTTCAAATGCGATGGAAATGTTTTTGATAACCAACAAAGAGCACTGCACAGCTGTTTCGTCCCGTTTTGGACTCGTCAGCAGTGCGTATGTTTGTGTCCTTGTCAGGAACACACATTTCCATTGCATTTGAATGCATTACTTCGTGGAGCATTAACGATCTCCCAAGGAGTGAAACCCACACCGAAGACCATCAGCAGTGCCTGGCACCTCTGACCAGTCGAATTGGCTAATACAAGCTTGAGACTCTAAAATTTAAAGGCCTTCTTCCATTCGCTTTCATTCCCACATGCCAAGGTTTAAAATGAACAGCCATCATTATGCACGGACATGTACATTTACGTTCGTCTACGGCGGCATCTCTGTAAAGAACTGGGAATAATATCTAGCCAGTTGTAAACTGTGATCCATCTATTCGCAGTTAGAAAAGATCCAGAGAAAATTGGTCGGGAAATGGCCACACCAAGGCTGCGACGAAACTGGGAATTCCCACAGAAAACGAGGAAATAGAAGATAGGAGTATAATGTATCTGCACACCTTGAACACTGGACATTCATATCACCCGTGAGAACAGTACCATTGATGATTTCAAGATGGACAGTTATTTTCAGGCATCCAACTGTGTGTGGACTTCGGATTTTACCGTGTGAATACGGATAACAGACATGGGAACATGCTGACAGGGGATGGTGTTTACAGCAGACACCAGTACTCCGTTGCTCCGCTTTCAGCAAACCAACAGCTCCATCCTCGATATTCGCGTTTTATCAAATTTACAGCTTCCAAAAGTTTGACATTTATGCATTAAACCAGAAAAAAATTAACAGACACTTCTTTAGACTTAGGCAAAGAGGAGAAACAGCCAGTTGCCCGAAACGTGGTGAATAGCACTCACACTCCGTCCGTTGTCGGGAAATAGTCTTCGTGAATCCACAAAGCGAACCAGCCTTGACTGTGCACCGTGTTGTTCTCGAACACACCCATTGGGGCAATTCGTGGACAAATAGTGGTGGTGGTCGACGGTCCACTGGGATTCTCCAACATACGATACCTAAAACGATTTGTGCCAGAAGAGAAAGTTCAAAATAAAACGCCACTAGAAATGAACAGTTACCTTGACATACTCGTTCTTGATAGAATATCGATTACCTGAACGCCATGGTGCAGCAATGTTCTCAAGAAAACTATGATATCTTCCGATATGAAATCCTTGTTTACAGACGTACCGCTGATAGAGGCAGTTGATCACATATGTGACTTCTAATGTTTCCAGCCTACGTGAGTGCAATACGCATTTTCAAATCCAAAGGTATGCAAGCAAAATTCGGTGGTCCAGACACTGGTGTTGCCCTGGCCCGAACAACGGATTGATTGTGCAGAAAACAGAGAATCAACCCTCCTGCCCTCCCGAACTCAAGAACCCCTCCTTATCCAGTATCATCAACCACAATCTTAAGAACTAACTATTTTATTTTTATCTCCAGCATTCCTTCCCGAATAGATCACTTACTATGCATGACAGATAGTTTCCACTGTATCTTAGGTAACTTCATTCCGCTCTCTTGTCTGAGCTGACAACCTTCATTGCAATCTGTCTAACGTTTTCCATTTGACCCTTGTCTTCTCACCTTCTCCACGACTATAGCACTGACTATCACACTCGCCTTGTCATATTCGTGCGATCTGTTTGCTCGCCTCTGTCATCACGCGAATAACTGATCTTTAAACGACCAATCAGATATCTGTACTATGATCACCTTGTATGTGTAAACGCCTGATGGGATATGTCGAAAAGAACTTTCTTCGCGAACACCGTTTTCTACATTGTCTGTGGAACTATTTTATCATTATAAACATGCTACTCACATTCGTGAGTAGTGACTCAAAATATTACTTTTATCGTGGCGACAACGTCCATCGTGATTTCTCCATCAGAAATGGGCATTACACGAACCTCCCCTAACTGGACCTACCTCATAGTACTGGATCAGCACAATTACCCTTGAAAAAAAGGAAGTGCACATTATAGCGTTCAATCGCATCGGTACGCATGCGGGTTAACTAACCAAACTAACTTTTCCACTCTCAGGAATATAGCTGTAAACTCGGACGATCGTATGAAATCCCTTTTAACGTAGATAATGCCCTTTAAGAGAATAAGTGAAACTGCGGTTGTAGAGTAAGTAAGATTGAATGAATTAATGAATGTGATGGACATAAATAGCTCCCTTTTTAAAGAGAGAGAGAGAGAGAGACGAGACTGCACATTGACGCGGTGTGATGGCTTGCGTGCCTCCATGACCCTGCGAGCTACACAGGATGACATTTCGCAGCCGTAGATCCAATCATGCCTGAAAGGTCAACGGGTAGAGGCCAGACGAAGCTCAGTCTCACAATTTTGGCACCCCCCCCCTAGCTTCTTTCCTCTATCCACATCCGCCCCTGGAGAGGTCAGTCCAATAAATAAACACGGTGCGGAGCAGTTTACCGGTCAAAAAATCCCCACTAGATGAACGTAGAAGGAGGTACTTGGGGCTTCCTCTCGACGGTGGGAGAAGTCTTCGCACTTCATTGGACAGCTACTGCCCGCCCAAGCTGGGCAGCCCCCAGCCAATAAGNCCACGTTCCGCTTGTCTCATTGGGTGCATGGGGCTGAAGGCTGATCCCGAAAAGCGGACCAAAAATCAACGCACCAGCGAACAACACACTGAACCGAAATTCAAAGGCCCTGCGTGACAGGTCTCCCGAAGCTCCCACACGGGTGCTTCGTTCACGCTCCCACGTTGGATTTACGCCCCACTGCATTGTGGGTAAGACTTTTGAGTCGAAGGCTCCGGTTAGGGTTACCAAAGAAAAACCCCTTCGTCGATGTGGGCTACCGCGATGTATACCGTGCCCTAAGGTCTCGGGTACCTATTTGGAAAACCATCTTTCCCATCTGTCTAGTCCTTCTTCTCAATCCCGAATATTCCCAGGGGCCTCCTGCTTTCTAGACCTATCGCATATCACTCAGCGCTCAACTAATAAGGTCAACCAACCAGAGGCTATCAGATTTTTGAAACCAAAATCTCATTTCTACTTAGCCGCACTCAATGTCCGCACACTCTACCAGATCGGTCAACAAGCCGCCCTAGCCAGAACCCTTGAAACCTTCCATTTATATGTATGTCGTGTCTCCGAAACACGCATACAAGATCCTACTTCAGTCATCTCCCTCCGTTCTCCAGATCCGGCCTTATCCTCAAGCTTCACTCGCCGTGTGTCAGGCGATTCGGTATCCGAAGCTCGCGGTGCTGCTGGCTTTGGGATTGCACTAATTGTCACGGCCGAGCGTTCGCTTCTCGAATGGATCCCGGTTAACAGCCGACTTTGTGCCGTACGTCTGGATGGTTCAGAACGAAGCGTCGATGCTTATTCGTCATATCCGCGTATGCATCGACAGATTGCAGTTCACCAGAAATAAAGGATGAACTCTACAAGGAGCTCTCTCTACTGCTCCAAAGTACTCGGTCATCGGACAATGTGATAGTCGCTGGAGACCTCAATGCTCAGGTGGAATCCATGGCGGTTTGCATGCAATCCCAACCAACAGGACTGACAACGGAGAACGCCTACTCCAACTTTGTGCTGACCACGGATTGTTTCTGTCAAGCACG